AATAATAATAATAATGAGTCAAAATTTAAATAATAATCAAACTTTTAACAGCGCTTCTTATAGATATTCAAACTTTCAAGTTTCACTAATTCATATTCTAACTTTCAAATATGTTTGCAATCCATACATAATTTAACGAGCCGTTGACAAACCTAACGGTTCGATCATACATGACACTTGACAGCGTTAAATTGTTTATCAACGTACGTTAACTTATCCCAAACTTTACAAATAACTCTTTTTTAGTTATTCAAATGAATTTGATTTCATATTTCTCTTGCTTTATAATTGTGTTATGATTTTAATTTTTTAATTGCTTGTTATGAGGATCAAATTGCTAGACTTGTCAACGGTTGGTTAAATTAGGTGTGGATGGAACATAAATTTGGTTATTTATTAGGGAAAAAAGTGTAGGTACCATTTTTTCGCCATCCCATCTTATTGAATCTTCAACTATTGAACCGATCGAAAATAAAACCTTAAATTTTCAGCTTGTTTTTGTTTTCGAATTTAACGTAAGTATAGCATTGTAAACGGTTTCTATAGTCTCAAATGTCTTTGGCACAAGTTTCGTACGCTAAAAACTTTTGAACATTTGAATTCACATTGATAGTTTTTTGTATTGATATTTCATATGGACATCTACAAAAATTAGTAAAACTCAATAAAAGACTACATATTGGAGAGATTTTACACTAAAAATAAATTCTATCTGTAAAATATTTAGATGCAAAAGACTTCAGATTTTACCATGCAAAAAATAATAATAATAAATAAATAAATAATAATAAAGGAAATAAAAGAAGGATAATGAAAGTGGAAATTGGTTTAAAAATTGTTTTGAGTGGGCAAGTAAAACAGAATTGAAAATAAAAAAAAAAACTAAAAAGTTGTTCAACCTACTAAAAAGCTCAAAGTGGCAACTCAGAAATTCTTCTTCTTTGGTCCACATATCGATTTGTGCTTAAAAGGCTAATAATAAAGGAACTTTTCTTGTAGGTCAAATAGGTGTATGAGGTTTCATGCATAAAATACTCAAAAGTTTCAAACTATTAATATATTTTCTAGTGTTTTTCATTAATATCATGAAGGAAAACGAAAAAAAAAATCGAAAAAAAACAAAACAATTCGAAGATATTTCATGTGTAAAATACTCAAAAGTGTCAAACTATTAATATGTTTTCGTGTTTTCCATCAATATCACAAGAGAAAAAGAAAAAAGATGAGACAAACAAAACAACTCGAAAAGTCGTTAATGTTTGTCAAGTCATATGTGTCATGTCTAACTAAATAGAATTAAATGGAAGTATGAAAAATTAGTATGTAAAAATGTTTGCTAATTATTTCATCTAGTTCAATCTAGTTCAATGTGTATCCTACTTATTAGACGATCAATAACTAATATAAAGATAATATTTGAAGTCTGGAACGGGTTTATTTCTTCTTCTCTTCAATATTATTCTGTACTATTCAATCCACCTTTTCAAATACGAAGCATACCATCAGTACATTGTTAATACACTAAATTAGATAGTATTGCAAACAAGATTTACTTGACATAATTAGGGATGACAAATGCCCCTCCCGTCTCCCCCACGGACATGGCGTGTGGAATCACCGTTTCGTCAAGATTTATACATCATGAACTATTATGTTCAGTCAAATATATCGAACATAGTATAAATTTTCTAATATGTGACCTTACTATTTGAATTAGGTCACGTTTGATTGCACCCCAATTCCATGGAAAACGGAAATTAAATTCCATCTTTCCAATTTTTTGTTGTTTGATTGGCAAATTTTTTTCTAGAATTCGAATTCCACCTTTCTTGCAACATAAGCCAATTTCTAATTTTTACTTGAATTGAAATTGAGAATTCCAATTTCTGGGTTAATGTAGGATTTTATTTATTTATTTATTTTATACAATGGAAATAAATTCTAAGAATTATTGTAAAAAAATATTTCCCTTTCATTGATAATTTTCATGTAAAACAAAGTCAAATGAACATCAAAAGATAGATGATTTTCTTTGTTTTGTTTCTTTTTTCTTTTTCTTTTGGAAATGGAAACAAATTTTATCCCTAATACTAATAAATTTTATCTCTTTAATTGACAATTTTCATGTAAAATAAAGTCAAACGAATATCAAAAAATACTTTTATTTCAACATTTTCCACGTGAAAAATTATAACAATTAAACACAATAATTTACAATTCCCGGGAAAATAATTTCTAGGCAATTCAATTCCTTGAAATTCGTTTTCTTTCCACCCAAATTACATCTTTACAATCAAACGGACCCTTATAGTTGTCCATGGACTGCCATTAGATTCCAATAGCCAACTATTGCATAATTATTTTTTGGGGACAAGTTGTTTCCTCTCAAACCCTAGTGATTGGTTATTGGGATTGAGGCTATACAGAAAACATAGATTCCCAACCCTACATACATACATCATATTATTTACTTTATACCTAATTCTTTGTCCCTTTTCTTATGAATACACTAATTACCCCGAATCGAATATAACTATATGCACACGGATACTAATTAAATAGGATTTTGGGGGTTATGCCGGCTTCCTTTAATTATTAGTTTAGGGCTAATAAATTAACTTAATGAAAATTCACGACAATTTGTTAAATATTATGTAAAACGATCGAAGTCAGATAATTGGCTCATTCGTGCTTTGAAATCTCATTTAATTGTTGTTGCACCAACTAAAATTTTATTCTCAATCATTTGGAAATAGATTATCATTTCGACTATTGGTTTAAGGGATAGTTGCTATATTGGTCACTAACCTAGGACTTGCATTAAAAGTAGGTTGTAGATCTAGGGATTGTATCTGAGCAAGGTAGTCATCGCCGTCCCCAGCTACCCCTGAACTTTTGAGAGTTGAAACGGGATTAAAATATCTTGATTTTTTGCTTACATACTTCTTTATTTACCTTCATTATTAAGCATAAAACAAAAGAGTTGTGGCGGCTTCGAGTTGTGACCATGTTCTCCTTTCCTACATCAATTCCCCGATGGGACTTGGCAAGAAAACGCAGGGCATTCCTACGTGTCAACCCTGATATATAAACCAAAGATCTTGAGAGTAAGTTCCAAATGTTCCAGTTTTGAATTAGAAGTGCGACCTATAGAGCACAATTAGAAGTATATTTAAATGTGGGGCAACTTCTTCTACATATAGCAGACACGGTTAGAAACTTGGATATCTTATTCTTGAGCTGTGTTTGGTAGGCCAACTAATCTTCAAGATGTGCACAATAATGGAGTGCTTCTCTATGCTCTGACTCCAGCTCATGAGACACTAGTAGTTGGCCTACAATTCATCAAAAAACCGTATGACTCGTCTAGCAAATTGAAGAATTTTGCTGTTTTACTAGGGGTTCGGGTTCTGAAGAATTTTGCAGTTTTACCAGGACCCCTACCGATACTCACAGCAGGTGTGTCCCCACCTATATAAAAAAATTACCAGAAATCCCCCCCAAGCCCATGTTGTGAGTATTCAGTATGAGTTCTACCCTGTACCCCAAACTCTTCTCTAAATTGAATTCCGTAAAACTGATAGTATTAAAGAAGAAAGAGACATCAAAATCTTGTCAATAACATTGTGTAGTCCTATAAAATACTGTGTATGGTGTACCAAGCATGCGATACCTTTGCAGTGCAAATCCTTTGACTGCAACAATTCACACACACATTAATGGCAAGCCCCAGCAAGGCAAAAAATTCCCACCGAGAAAAATAAAAAAATAAAACCAATATTGACGAGTAAACCATTTCATATCCCATTTATTTGCACAACCAATTACATAAGCAGGTGTTAAAAAAAAAAAAATTAAAAAAAAATTAAAAAAAATCGCTCAAAATACCTTCAAGGCTTGCGTTGGTCTTACAGCTGCTTATTGCTTTCCATGAAAAAAGAAAAAGAAAAAATGGGATCACGAGCAGACATAAAATGGCGATGAGGTTAATGAATTCCATCAGATTGAAATTCCTAACGACTTCTTCATCTTCTCAACTTCCAAATACACGGTTGAATAAGGCAAGAACTCGGAGAAGTAACCTTTGCTCAGATCATTTATTGCAACTGCGAGTTTAGGAATCTCCAGTGTTTCCTCGTGGGTCAAAGTCCTGACGAACCTTGCAGGATTCCCTGCCCAAAGCTCGCCACTTGGTATTCTCCTTCCTGGAGGAACCACAGATCCGGCTTCAAGAATAGAATGTGTTTCAATCAAAGAACCCTCCATAAGGATTGAGTGCTGACCAATAATGCATCCCCAGCTACCCCTGAACTTTTGAGAGTTGAAACGGGATTAAAATATCTTGATTTTTTGCTTACATACTTCTTTATTTACCTTCATTATTAAGCATAAAACAAAAGAGTTGTGGCGGCTTCGAGTTGTGACCATGTTCTCCTTTCCTACATCAATTCCCCGATGGGACTTGGCAAGAAAACGCAGGGCATTCCTACGTGTCAACCCTGATATATAAACCAAAGATCTTGAGAGTAAGTTCCAAATGTTCCAGTTTTGAATTAGAAGTGCGACCTATAGAGCACAATTAGAAGTATATTTAAATGTGGGGCAACTTCTTCTACATATAGCAGACACGGTTAGAAACTTGGATATCTTATTCTTGAGCTGTGTTTGGTAGGCCAACTAATCTTCAAGATGTGCACAATAATGGAGTGCTTCTCTATGCTCTGACTCCAGCTCATGAGACACTAGTAGTTGGCCTACAATTCATCAAAAAACCGTATGACTCGTCTAGCAAATTGAAGAATTTTGCTGTTTTACTAGGGGCTCGGGTTCTGAAGAATTTTGCAGTTTTACCAGGACCCCTACCGATACTCACAGCAGGTGTGTCCCCACCTATATAAAAAAATTACCAGAAATCCCCCCCAAGCCCATGTTGTGAGTATTCAGTATGAGTTCTACCCTGTACCCCAAACTCTTCTCTAAATTGAATTCCGTAAAACTGATAGTATTAAAGAAGAAAGAGACACAAAATCTTGTCAATAACATTGTGTAGTCCTATAAAATACTGTGTATGGTGTACCAAGCATGCGATACCTTTGCAGTGCAAATCCTTTGACTGCAACAATTCACACACACATTAATGGCAAGCCCCAGCAAGGCAAAAAATTCCCACCGAGAAAAATAAAAAAATAAAACCAATATTGACGAGTAAACCATTTCATATCCCATTTATTTGCACAACCAATTACATAAGCAGGTGTTAAAAAAAAAAAAATTAAAAAAAAATTAAAAAAAATCGCTCAAAATACCTTCAAGGCTTGCGTTGGTCTTACAGCTGCTTATTGCTTTCCATGAAAAAAGAAAAAGAAAAAATGGGATCACGAGCAGACATAAAATGGCGATGAGGTTAATGAATTCCATCAGATTGAAATTCCTAACGACTTCTTCATCTTCTCAACTTCCAAATACACGGTTGAATAAGGCAAGAACTCGGAGAAGTAACCTTTGCTCAGATCATTTATTGCAACTGCGAGTTTAGGAATCTCCAGTGTTTCCTCGTGGGTCAAAGTCCTGACGAACCTTGCAGGATTCCCTGCCCAAAGCTCGCCACTTGGTATTCTCCTTCCTGGAGGAACCACAGATCCGGCTTCAAGAATAGAATGTGTTTCAATCAAAGAACCCTCCATAAGGATTGAGTGCTGACCAATAATGCATTCGGGCTCAATTGTGCAGGACCGCAAGAGACAGTATGCACCAACTGTTACAAATCTCTCAATTAATGTCTCCGCCGGCAGCCCTGTCAGACCACATTATATTAAATTTCAGAGGTTGCATTCAGTAATATGTAAGGATTGTAATGGTTCAGAAATGAAAATCAACTTATATAGTAGACAATAGGATGAAAACAACTTAGGAATGTGTCAGCACGAGACGTTCCTTGCCACCTAAGGATGCACTTCACATTCACAATAATCTAAGTTCTAGTCCAAAAGTGAAAATTGAGGCACTAAATGCACAAACAAAAAATTCAATGGAAATACTATAGCAATATTTGACACGACTTCTGAAGAAAATGATGGGTTGATGGTGCAAGAAAAGAATGCCAAATTGCTTTAGTCGTCACAATTAAATTCATTTAGAATCCACTTCAGATCTCGCTCTCAACCCTTGATCAAGAATTTTTGTTTCTTCCAGAAGATATTCTGCATTCTGAATGCAGGATCTGCTTAATATCTTAAGATATGTTAAAACGCATTCATCAGGCTGCTTCTTATATTAATCTGAAACGATTAGAAAAAGAATTTAAAATCACTTTATGTCCATAATTACAGAGTCGAACCATCTTTTCAAAAAAAACCTAAGCCTTTCCGGTTCATAAAACCCAGTTGCAACTCTTTAACATCCCAACCAGTCCAGATTGATTGTAGGACCATTAATAAATTTGAAACAGTATAGCACAATAAACTTTTAGGATTACATAAAGAGCACAAAAGTGATATAAGTATGACACTAAACAAGGAAGGCAATAAGTTTCCCAAAGAGTATGACGTTTCGACATTTATTTTGGGTCCATATATATAGCCTCCATTTGGGTGGGCTTGGAATAAGCTAGTTTGACCAGCTTATAGGCACACCCATGTTTGGCAGAGCTTATATGCTGGTGAAGCTATCTTATAAGCTCAAATCCCATTCAAACATGTCACAGGATGACTTATTTTTCAGACCAAATCAATATAAGAAATAAGCTCAGTCAATCGAAACTTATACGATGAGTTGCCCAAGTGAAGCACCAAGTTACCCTCCATTATCTCAATATTTACCATCCAACGAACCTGAATTCATTACCCTAGCACACTAAAATATCTCCTTCATGAGCAAAAATATAAAAAAAATAATTTAGTATTTTTTATTTTTTATTTTTTATTTCACAAAGAATTAAGGTACACTTCGTATTTTTTCCACGGACAATTCCTAAAAAACAATGGCTTTGCTTTAAATCTTTAGCTAAACACCTGAGGACATTTCTATAATTCAACAAGGGCCAAAAGCTAATAAGCAAACACAGTCCCTCCAAACATATGGCCTTTTAAAAATTTACTTATTTTCCTGATAAGATAGCTCATATGCAAATCCTTAAGCAAGCTCACATATCGGTTTGGTTGATGAAAATAGTATTCTACACTTTCTTTTTCATAAGACGTTTGATATCTTGGTCGTTGCCCTTTCTGCTGTGGAATCCTATCCCATATAACAACAACCACCCTGTGAAATCCATTCAACAATAGTCCTATCCACCACATTCTATATTCTATGATTTTCATGGTTCTCTTCAACCTGTTTTCTAATCACTAGCTCACAAACTTCAAGTATTCGAGATGCAATCCTAAAGATGACATTATTTTCGATAACAAAGTTAAACAACAGAAGTAATCCTCAAGGATGGAAGCAAGCCTCATAGTTATAATAATTAACCTTGGGATGAAATGGGACCCTTTGAGAAGTTCTTCCTAGTTCCTAAAACTCTCCACATCAGCCGGATGACAAAATAATTTAAAAAATGCATGATCTTCATGAGGCAGAGCAAATCATCCCTATCAATCACTCACATACACGGACACACATGGTACTTTGGTTTCCACTTGTGTACCTGGAAAGATAAGTCTTCTAGAGTCACAGCCGTACAGAAAAATATGTTATAACTGAAGAATCATCAGAGGAACAGCAGTAGGGAAATAGTTACTATAATGAATAATTGAAACATGTTGTCTAGAAAAACATAGTTCAGTGGTTAGAGTTCTGGTCCAACAGTGGACCAGTTTTATGTCTCCTCCATATTCTTAGACAGGTGGTCATTGCATATGATGAATACAATGAACAACTGCAGTACTCTGCTCTAGATAAATGTAAAGTTTATTTATGACAAACAACTGAAGTGCAATTATTGAGCAAATTTATTCATGGAAAAATCATATAAACAGCCAAGCCAACAAACCTGAAATCCATAGATAAAGTATCAATTCTCACTGGAGGTTTTCATTCCCATGGCTCTTAAATGCCACGTCAGATAACTGATGATACATTTCCATGGAATTTAATATACTAGGTAAAATTGCTCAACAAAATCCATTGTTGGCTGCAATCTTTTCTCACAAAGTTGATTTAAATGCTACCTACTGAAATGATACACCACTAGGCCTAAAGTGGAAAAATCAACTAAGATATCCTCCCTCAACATGTCCAGGACAAATGTTCCATTTCTTAATATGGATAATACTACTATCCCTTGAAGTACATGAAGTCAGCAAAAGATTCTTGGCCTAGTTATGAGGGCTTCAAAAAATATGAAAAATCAGGATAAAAAGAATAATAATGAAGTCAACCTCCACGATAGCCACCAATAATTGCTATGTTGGCATCAACACTTAAAAAAGAAGCCCCAACTAAGAGAACATCCTTCCAGTGTGGACAACTAACATTCAAAATCACAAGTTTTCGTTCCACCAAAGGACACAACACTCTCAGCCTTGTTAGGTGCCCAGAATGTATTACATGTGGATACATTCTTCTTTCCAGTTTATGGATCAATATAGTTGCAATGTGAAATATAAAGTTCTACATGAGATATTTTTGCTCTCTAGGTTTTCTCTGCAAACTTTTTGGTAAAATGCTTATTTTATTTAAATCTGATGAACTTAAAGGTAGGTTTTGTATGTTAATGTGATTGACACTATAATAATATCATATCAACCTTTTATGTTATAACCCAGCTCCAACTAAACTAAAGAAAGTACTATTCTAATTTTTCATGATAAAATATACAAATCGCAAAAGAACGATTAAAAGAAGTATACATACTTACGATGTATCTAAACGGAAGCCAAGTAAGAGCTGTACAGTATGAATGACAAAAAGCCCCTCAAATTCATACTAAGCACAGGCATGACAGTTAGAATTACAATTTTGTGTCACCATAAAAATGCTGAGGCCACTATTCCAATACTATTTATTGGAACTCACAACTGCGACAATCAAATTTTAGGTCTCGACACAAGTAATATCATCTTTTCTCTTATTTCTTTCTTACCGGACTCGTATAGGAGTCTTTCTCTGCAACAAATTCTTTCCACCTGAAGCATCCCACTACACTCACGAAGATTATAGAGAATTGTACAACCTTTAAAAGCAAAAGGCATTACACAAGGTCATTGTAATTTGTAGCATAGGCCATCCTTGTTCCCTTCCGCAGGAACAAGAAGTTAAGTTTATGAATAGCTTTTCCCGAGTTTCCTTTTCTTGTCGGATTTTAGAATTTCTTTTATTTAAGGTGATGGAACAAGGCTTCATGAACAATGTTGATTCACCTAAATACCAATTTTCAGCTAACTCAAACACAGTAATTACTTAATAACTAATTAAGGACTAACATAAAAGAGAGTGAAAATCCTAGCTTGGCAGAAGGATCGATATATTCAAAATGTCTAAGGTATAAGCTTACAAGGGCAGTGCACAACACCAGAGTTTGTTTATACTGACCTGTGGGAGAAGACCAGGCAGCGTGGACAACGCATCGTTCCTGCACATTGGAGCAGAACCCAACCGTAATCTTATTCAGATCACCACGCAAGACGGCGCCGTTCCAGACAGATGCGCCGTCGTGGACCACCACCTGACCGGCTAACACCACATTGGGCGCCACGTAAGCATCGACGGCTACCTTGGGAGCCCACTGACCGAGCGGAATGAGCTTCCTCTGGCCCCGATAGTCCCATTTGACCCGATCCGGCGATTCTCGAATTATAGGTGCCGGAGGCGGAGACTGCGGTGGCGACTGGGCCGTTTCTGCTGAAAAGGATCGGCCAATTGCACGAGTGGAGAGGGTTCTAGGGAGGAGCCGGCGAGATGCTCGAGCTAGTGTCGCCATTTTTGTGTATCGGATTTCTACTCAAGAGATGGTTGGAGAGAGAGAGAGGGTGAGGAAGAAGAACAGTTAGAGGAGTGAATTACCGATATAGTCACTGAACTTTAAAGTATGTTTTCACGAGGTCACTGACCTTTAAAAAGTAACTTATTAATCACTAAACTTTGCATCTTGTAATCTAGTTAGTCACCGAGCTCAAATTCCATTTAAAAATTGACGGAGTGTTGACGTGTCTGATGACATGGCAATTAGTGGATGCCAATTCAAACAAATATTATCCACGTGGATTTTTGAATTAAAACATGTTTTATATTAAAAAAAAAAAAAAAGGAAAATCATCACTACAGTCGTCTTCTCCAAACAACCATATTCGCTGCTAACCCCGAACCCATCTTTGCTCATCGACACAGCGTTTTCCCTTCCAGACCTTTTACCAAAATTGACCGACAATAGTTATTCCAAAATCGATAGACGCCCATAGCCACCACCAATTAACAGCAATTCGCACATCAACAGAAAAAATTGGGCTGATTTTGATTCAGAAAATTGGAGCAAGCAATGGATTAACTAATTCAATTGAGGAGTTACCCAAGGTCGTATTAACCTGTTGAAGGCTATTTGACCCTAAAAACTTTGAATTGCTACATTATTGGATGTTATGAAACCATGTTTGGATGCCCCTTGGAGTGTAGAAGAGGCCGATATGTGTTGGTCGTGATGGATGTGACCGGAAAGGTGGTTGCCGCCAAGTTATTTGGCCGCAAACGGTGAGGAGTTTGATGGCTACCGGGGTGCATTTGGGGGCAGTGTAAGGTCGGGATTTGTTGGGCGGGTGAGTCCAATATCGGCGGTGGCGATACCCGACAGCCTAGGGAGCGAGATGGTGGTTTTTTGGAGGTGGAAGTCGATGGTGCGTGGCGGTGAATGTGGTGAATTCAGGGAGTACGTTTAAGTTTGACCCAGTCAAAGGACCTAAATTCTACTTTGACTTTCAAAATCATGAATATTATGACATTGGCCTCTTGTATGGTAAAAGACAAAAATGCCCTTACATGTTTTGTACAATTACAAAATAATATATTGTTGAAAGGGCTATATTACCCTTTTAGTTAATAATTGAAAACCAAACACTTTCCCACTTATAAAAACTTCAAAACGAGCTTCCAACATAGAAAAAACTCTCATCTTTTCATCTGCTTAAACTTCAAAATCTAGAAAAACTCTGAAACGTTGAAGCCGGAAAAATTTTTCATATCAATTACTTCAAATCGGTAAGTACATTTACGCATATTTAATTTCGTTTTCAGTAAATTAGTATACGTTTGAATAGAGAAATTTTATGGTCAACATAGTAGTTAGCATAAATTTTTTTTAACAAATCTTACCTATCAAAAAAAATTGAACAGATGTATAATATTTTTCTTTAGAACCGTATTCTCCTGCACAAAAACAGCCAATTAACCGACTCTGCACTGATTTTTGTTGGCACTGATTTTTTCCTATAATTAATAAATGAAGTGGATTAAATCTATTTCCTCATGCAGATATGATAATCCCCGTCTAGTATTTCGGTGATTTCGAATTGAATGAAAATAATCGGTGGAAATGGACGAGTGACATACGTGGTTGTATTGCAATTCCCAAAACAGAGAGTACACCATACTTAAAATGTACCACGATTTGCAAAATAAGCTAAATGTCGATCAATCTCAATACAATATGCAATTGAGATATCTATTCAACGGTTATGGGGATTCATCCATTCCGATGCCACCGGTATTCGTTACTAATGATGCTGAATTGAATTATATATTAGAATTGAATAAAATGCAACGGACTCCGACTGTTCTTGTGACTTTAATTACGAACGATGTTATCGAAGGTGAATGCGAAAATTCAGATAGGGCGGATAACAATGATCGAGGTTTTTGGGACACAGTGGAGATAGTTCCTGCGGATGATGTGGTTATTCCTGAGACAGTTGCATCTGATCGTGATGTCGCTGTTACGCGCAGAATTTCGTAGACAGTTGAAGACAATGAGAATATAAACGAGTTTACAAATGAGAATTTGATTGCTTTATCTCGATAGAGACACGAGCCGGGTGGGAGCTCACAGGTTGGAATAAGTGGACCGTCCTCCAATTCTTCCCGTGTGGCTCCTAATGATAAGGACTTGCAGGTCGAGCAACTGTTTGAAACAAAGAAAGATTTGCAGGAAGCTGTGCACTGGCTGGCATTAAAATATAACTTTGAGTTCAAGGTAAAGAAATCAAACAAGTCATTGTTGACAGTTGCTTGCGTCGAAGACAGTTGCAATTGCCGCTTGAGAGCAACTAAGATGGACACGAATGAGTGCTTCGTAATTCGCAAGTATTCACGGGAATATACTTGCGAAGTGAGAATTCTTCGAAATGATCATAGGCAAGCTCAAGCATAGTTTATTGGTCGACAAATAATGCACAAGTATCAGGATCCACAGACGATCTACAAACCTTCGGACATCATTAACGACGTCCGTCGAGAGTATGGAGTGGTCTTGAGCTACCAGAAAGCGTGGAAGGCCAAAGAATGTGCGTTGGAGGATTTAATGGGATCGGCCGAAGAGAGCTATGCTAAATTGGCTAGGTATTGCCATAACATGGGGACAACTAATCCTGGCACGGCATTTTTTATTAAGACGGGGGGAGATAATTATTTTAAGTATTTCTTCATGGCTCTCGAACAATGTATTCGGGGTTTTCGAAATACAATACAACCTATAATTCTAGTTGATGGTACAACTCTAAAAGCTAAATATCAAAGCAAATTAATTATTGCTACATGTCAAGATGCGAACATCCAAATTTACCCTATTGCATTCCGTATAGTCGACAGCGAGAATGATCTGTCTATGCGTTGGTTTTTTTCTAAACTGAGGGAAGTGATCGGGGAAGTCGAAGACCTTGCCTTTGTAACCGATCGGGGACAGTCTATAATAAACGGTATCGCTGAAGTTTTTCTCGGGGCACATCATGGGTATTGCATGTACCATATACAAGGTAATTTGAAGACTAGGTATCGGGGCACAGGTATCGTTTCATTGTTCAGGAGAGCAGCCGAAGCTTACAGTGCTGAAGAGTGTAATAAGTTCATGCTCAAGATAGGAAGTAAATCATTACTGGCGTTTGAGTATCTGACGAAGATGGGGATCGAACATTGGGCGCGGTAATACTTTCCAAGACGTCGATACAACATGATGACGTTGAATAACGCGGAATCTCTCAATGCATTGTTTAAGAAGGATCGAGAGTTACCAATTCTCGCAATAATTGAGAACATTCGTAACAAGCTACAACGGTGGTTTCATGACCGACGTGCGACATTACAGAGTTGCAGTAGCGTGTTGGCCCCAGCTAAGAGAAACTATTTAAGGTGGCAGAGGTTGCGAGGAAGTTGAATGTGAAAGCACTAGATGAGTTTCGCTTCTCCGTGCAATATGCACGTAATACAGCATATATGGTGGACTTGACTGATAACACATGCAGTTGTACAAGATTTCAGTTGGAGAGTTTTCCATATGAGCATGCAGTTGCGGTGGCCATGTATCGGGCTTTGCTGCGAGAACGTTATGCTCTTTGTATTATACAACTGAGTGTTGGAGAACAGCATATGCTGAGACTATATTTCTTCTGCCGAATGAAGCTGAGTGGGAAGTTCCCGAGCACATTCTCCCATTTCATAATTTGTTGCCACCAGCAGTTGAACAGCGTGGTCCTGGACGTCCAAGTACATCTAAAATACCATCTACCGGAGAGTTTTCTCGACCGCGTAGGTGTGGCAAGTGCAGAGCCGTAGGGCATACTCGACAATTTTGTACCAGTCAAATTCTCCTAAATGACGATTAGACAGGTACGTTAAATGAATAATATTTCATTTTACTTTACACTGTTCAATATTTGTTTTTTATAAATTTTCGATGTTCAATATTTATTCTTGATAAACGGTATTTATAATATTTCATATAAAAAAATAGTTACATACTCGGCTTACGTGTAAAATAACAAAACAAAAAATATAATTAAATTTTCAATGTGAATGTTATATACATTGACCACAGATTTACAATTATTTCATAATCACAAAAAATAATTAAATTTACAATTGAAATGTTACATATATTTAATACAAATTTATCGGTCAGCATTAAATTCGAACAAATCACATGCTAACTTCTTTCTCCAGTTCTGTATCCACGACTGGTTGATTCCATCAATCTTATGCTCTATACTTAAAAATTCGACGTATTTAATGGCAAATATGCTGTAGTCGCCGCTAAAATTGAACAAGAATGAATCAATTCAATACTGTGTAAGTAAAAACTAAATCTGAAAGATAAAAACAACAAATTTCAAACACTTACCTTACGGACTGTCGCGCTGTCGTCGTGTTCCGAACAATCCGCAATACGTCCTATACATTTATCCCTGCTTGTCCGGCCATCATAGGAACAATTACAGCCACGGACTCCAGGTTTTACACCAACTGGCCTTGTGTCAAACATGAATGATTTAGGTCATACACATATAAAGTCGAGTCAGCGAAAATGATCTCCAGCGTAACATAGTGTTTATTGATGCATGTTGGAATGTACATATGTGTACAACCCTCCCATGATTTTCCCCCTGACACTTGGTGACAGTCCTATCACCCACTCGAGCATATATTCTGGCACCGTGTACTCGTTACTCATAAGTTCGAGCAACTGATATTCTATGGTAACGGCACGCAAGAACTCGGTGTTTAATATGACTCGACCATGGACATCAAATGATTTTGGATGTCTTTGAGCTCGATCTCGCAGCAAGTCCATGGCCAGGTCGATGTGCTGCAGAAGGAAATACCAAAAAAGTATGTGTTATTCATTTAATAAACACAAAGTAACGTATACATAAAATACACGAAATGAATAGTTCACTTACATCGTCGGCAAGCCAAGCTCCCGCAGTTGTGATATCGTGGAACCACTTGTAAGGGTCCAAGACCGTTATTTGACCTATCGTGTGGCTAACTCTATAAAAAACAGGGAGATATTAAAAT